CCCCCTCTCCTTCTCCTCCTCCCCCTCTCCTTCTCCCCCTCACCCTCTCCTTCTCCCCCCTCCTGGATGCCTTTGAACCACCAACAACTGACCCGGGCTTCCAACCGACATAGGCTTCCAGCTGATTCTCCCCGAGCACCAGGCCTACCACTTCCGCCCATGGAACCAGCTGGACATTGCTGTTGGCCGGCCGATTGACTTCACCTCGCTGCTGGCCCACCACCGGGTGGCAGGGACATCGGCCGATGACATTCGTGCGCACATTGCCGATGTCATCACCATGCATCTGCTGAATTTGCAGAGCGCGACCCTGCGCGCGCGCAAGCGCGCCATGGACATCGTCGAGGAGCAGGTCCGTGTCCTGGCCGAGGGGAAGCTCTCCCCGTGGCAGCGCCTGCGCGGCCTGCTCCCGGGGATGGTGACGGCCCCGGCGTCCTCGGCGGCGGCCGATGGGTCCGGCGCTGGGGAGTCCCTGCGGAACCTGGACGCCTGGCGGGTGGCTCCGCCGCTGGCTGGGCCGACGGACCCCATCTCGCCGGAGGCCATGCTGGCGGTCACCCGGCGCCGGGCGCCCTTCTGGAAGTTGACTCGCATGTCGGCGGCCGCGCACCCGGAGCGCGTTGACCCGGACCGTCTGTATCCGATGCAGCATGCCGATGTGGATGAGATTGAGCGAGACCGGCACACCCGGCGCATCGGTGCAGCGGAGCATGCGCGCCGGATTGAGGCCTCCTCCAATGATGCTGCCTCGGCCTCGCCACGTAGCTGGTGGACCGAGCTGATGGACATGCTGGCCCCGACGGACTCGCTGGTGCAGGCCGACCGCCCGCTGCCTGGGAAGAACGCCGGCGCGAATGCCGGCGGCCAGGGCCAGTGAATGGGCGAGAAGGAGAGAGAGAGAGAGAGAGAGAGAGTCGCGCGTGCGCGCCGGCCGTGCGCGTGTGAGGAAACCCCCAGCAGTGGAGATCCCGCCCCACCCCCTGGCAGCATGGACTTTCCCATGTCTGTGTGTCTCCTCCCTGGTGTGAATGGGATTTTTTTCGACCATTAATATATATCTATAGACTGCACTGAGCTGAGCTTCCGCCGCGGGAGAGGAGGGGGTTCGAGACGTGTGCGACATTGTGCGGGCCTCCTGGCTGTGTGTGCCAGTGGAGATGTGTGGACCGATCTGCCTACTTGCTGGCGCCCGCACGCATTGAGTATATGGGCGCGAGTGCAGCTGCGCGCCTCGCTTGGGCCTGGACGGGCCCATATCCGCAGGTGGTGACCGGCCATGTGGTCCTGTGCGAGTGCCTTGCTATTCTGCCGCGCAGCTCCCCGCCGGGGCGACCGCCGGAAAGTAGCCCCCTCGAGGTCAGGCCGTGCTCACCAACCAGAGCATCAGTGAGTGCCTTGCCCTTTCTCGCCCCTGTGAGCATCCACCAGCACACACGGACATACAGACTTGCAGACTTGCAGACTTGCAGACTTGCAGACTTGCAGACTTGCAGACTTGCAAACTTGCAAACTTGCAAACTTGCAGGCATACACACAGACACGCACACACAGACACACAGACACACACACACACAGACACACACACACACAGACACACACACACACACAGACATACACACACGCATCCTCCCTCGCCCCCCTCCCACTCGCCACAGGTTTTGGGCGTGACATGCGCACAGACACACGAGAGGACAAACACCAAGGGAAATGCACACCCGGAAAAGGGGATGCGCCCATGGGTGACCCCCCGCCCGACAACCCAGGAAGAGCCACACCCGCCCCCCCTGAACAGACCGCTGCTCGCCACCAGAAGGGATGAGCTGGCGAAGGCGCAATGATGAAGCATTTCAATTTTTAAATGTGTGGTGTTTTTTGAACACCGGGGGAAGGGAAGGGGGGGATATGGGAGGGAGAGCCGTAGGCGGACAGGCACGCGCGCTTGATTGGCGAATGCCGGAGACACGACTACAAAACTCGGACACCCACACGAGGGGGGAGGGGGAGGGGCATGAGCCGGCTAGCTGACCAGCAGCAGGCTAGCCCCCGCCCCCTGCCCGAGAGGAGGGTCAGGAAGAGACACACTCCAAGGGAGGGGGGGAGGAGAAGAGGCGGAGAGTGCGCGCTTAGTACTCCTGGGACTGAGAGCCGGAGGCCATGCTGCGCTTGGTGTTCTTCTGGGGCAGGAGAACGGGGTGGATGGAGGGGAGGACACCACCCTTGGAGATGGTGACGTTGGTCAGGAGCTTGTCGAGCTCGAGATCGTTGCGGATGGCCAGCTGGAGATGGCGCGGGGCAATGCGGGTCTTCTTGTTGTCGCGGGCGGCGTTACCAGCCAGCTCAAGAATCTCAGCAGCCAGGTACTCGAGGACGGCGGCCAGGTAGACCGGGGCACCAACACCAATGCGCTGGGCGTAGTTGCCCTTGCGGAGGAGGCGGTGGATACGACCGACCGGGAACTGGAGGCCGGCCTTGGAGGAACGGGACTTGGACTTGGAGGCCTCGGTGGCGTCCTTCTTGCCGCCCTTGCCGCCGATCTTGCCGCTGACCATGGTTGCTAGGAGAGTTGTCGATTGAACGAGGAGGGGAGGGGGAGTGTGTAGGAGGGGGGGGGGGAGGTAGCACGAGAGAGGGCGTGGCCGACTGTCGTGTGGGGATGTTCCAAAAAGTTGGTTGCCCTTGACCTCTGGATCCGGGGACACTCGAATTCCTTAAATAGGTGTGTCCTTAAAGGGGGATAATATGGGGTTCCAAAATGCAGCCCGGGTTCCGAACGGCCGCCCGCCGGCCTCCCCCTAGGGACTAGCCGCCGGCCGGGGAGCCGGCATTAACTTGCCAGGCCCCGCCGCCCGCGGAAGGCCGCCCGCCCCCGGGTCCCGGACCCCGCGCTCCCGGGGGTTGGGGTGCCGTGGATGCGGCCCGACTCGGACCACCGGCCGGGGGCAGGGATTATCTCTGGACCGGCACGCCCGGGGAGCCACAAGGCACCGTGGTCCCTGTATTGATGCTTCAATTGGAACCCGTCCCTCGATCCGTGGGCGACTCCCCCGCGGGCCCGGCCGACACTGCCTTTTGTCCGACTGGCCCCGCCGGCCCCCCCCTCCGGCTCCGCCCACAGGGACGCCCAATCGCCCGGCATGTTTCGCTTGGGCATGGAGCCGCCTGTGCCGGGCGCGGAGGACCCGGTGGGGGGGGGGGCGCCGGAGGCTGG